AGGCCGCTGGGCCTGATCCACCGGTCTGTCGCAGGTCTGCTTACCTTGCCAGCGCGGGCGGTGGCTCTGCCCTGCCCCTCCTACCACGCCTGCAGACCGCTGGGCCTGATCTGCAGGTTGGTCGCAGGTCTGCCTACCTTGCGGGCGCGGGTGGCGGCCCCGCTCCTCCCCTCTGGCTCGACTCGGGTATCTGTGACTCACCCTCCCTACCAGGGGACCAACTGTTTCCGTCACCGCTGGCACCGATGAAGTTTTCTCCTCGGCCGCTCTCCGATGACATCAGATCTCTGCCATGCTGGCATCCCCTGTTCTATGGCTGAATCCCATTTTCTTCTCTTCCAATAGGCGGAGCTGTGCCCTCTGAGCCGAGCTTCTGCCCTCTATGTGCTGACAGAAATCCCTGTACGGTGGCTCCTGGGAGTCTCTCAATCCTGTTAGTCCAGAGCCCTTTCACTTATCCGGCCCCTCCCCCTGTTCCTCCTCCCAGCCAGCCAGCCAGGTCCTGTTCACCGGAGGCGGTTCCCCAAGGATCTGATTACACTTGCAGCCCCACCGCGTGTCCTATATCCCGAACGATGAACACCCTCTCTGTCATTCAATTAAGCCCCAGTGCTATGGTGGGGTGATCTGGGAACCAACAGTTTAATTTTTCCGGACCCCTTTGGTGGGCACACCCCCAGAAACTGGCAGCTAAGATCTTGGGTGTCGCCGCTGGTGTTAAGGGGAGGTGGGGATCTGGAATCCCCTCTGCTTCCCTACAGACACGCCCCCGGTGGTTTCCTGGCTGCTTGTATCTGGAGGGGGTGGGAGTCACACACCTGCTAATGTGGATTCCGCTGGGAAGGAATTCTGTGGGCGGAACTCTGGTGATGTCACCTCTCTGCTATGGCGGGCCCCAGGCTCCTTGCCGGAGTGTCAGAAGGGAGGGGTGGGACTGGTCTGTCTCTGGTTGGTTTCAGCTCCCGGTTTGCTCTTTCATGAAGGCTTGGCGAGAGACCTCTTCCTAGAGTCCCTGCACCGCTCCTGCTGTGCTGCGCCTCGGAGGCTATCCGCCCTGACGCGGGGGCCGTGTGCAGGCAGCCGACAGTCGCCGAGTCGCGCTGGCAGCGGCTGGCGGGTCTGGACCTCTGCGCTGCGTGGCGGAGATTCACTCGTCTAGCGCAGACTGTCACCTCCAAAAATCCTTCCAATTCCCGGCCGGTCTCTCTTTAGTGGAATTTTGCTAGGAGTTTCTCAGCAGGTCGAATCTAAGCGTATCCATGCGTCTCTCTGACCCCGTTGTTGAGGAGGTACTGAAAGCGCTGCCTCCCCTCTCGCCGCCATGTTGGATCCCCCGTGAGGCTGACTTTGACCTTTCCACCCTCCTGCTTCAGCCTCCCAAGTCACTGAGATTACCAGCATTCACCACCACGCCTGTTCTCATGGGTACTTTTATTGATGTCAAATGTCGGTTTCTTCACAGTCTTATTTGGTTTCCTGTGGATGAAATATTTAAATAGTAGATTAAATTTTATGTTCCTATTTTCATAAAGAATTTTATGATTTTTTTCTTTGAACAGTGAAGCGGTATTTGAATCAGTTTGCTCTATATGATAATTGGGAGGTGAAATAAGATTCTGTTGCCAACTTAAAGAGACTATTCAAATTCTTTGTCTTGTGTACTTGAAGTGTATTTAAAAAAAATTAGAATAGACTCATTCCTTAATAATACTTCAAATAAAATATTTACAGTCTTTTAGAATAATGATAATTGAATAGTCTACTTACAAGGGTGGTTTTCAGGAACATAAGCGAAGAACAAGTGAGACTATGTTCTATAAACTAAGTTCCTTGTAAAAGATTATTTTAGATATTGTTTAAGTTCATCTATCCAGAATCACCACTTCCACTATTTGCTCCCTGCTCTTTTCTTTCAATACCTCCTTTTCCCTTTTTGTTCCCAGTTACCGTAACTTTACAATGAAGTTTGCTCCCCAGTTATCCACACGACCTAAGTTATTCTTGCTGAGTTTTCTTAGCTGCCTTATTTGCTGTATTTCCTTTCTGTTTTCTAAGAGGTAATGAGAAGTATAGAGAAAATGCCAAATGCTGCCACTGATCCATGTTGTAACCAGTGTTGAGGTATTTTATGTTTATGCACCTTAATTTGTGTGTATAATCCATTTGCAACTTCAGTGGGTTTATATTTTAGAACTCAGTCTGGCTTAAATGTAGAATATAAAATCCACCAAGCTCTTTCAGAATGTGCTCTCCGGCTTTCAAAAAAACATTACTCCATGATTTCATATGGTCATTGAGCCAACATTTATTGTAGACCTACTATGTGTCAGGTACAGTGTTGAGGATGAAAGACACTGAGACAGACAAGCTCAGGGTTCCTGCCTCTGGGTGGGCCTGGGTGAATGAATCATGATCATCATCTACATCCACAGGATCCCTTGTCCCCATCACTAGCCAGTTGTCTCCCCAGAAGCAAGTTATTTCTCTAGCTCTATTTCCTTTTGTAATTGAGCCCATTTCCCTTGGTTCTCTTTGATGTCCCTTTTAGCTGTGAAATGTTCAGTCTCTAATTATTGTAAATCGTTCTTTGAATTGCATTATCACTGCTTAAGCCCACCAGCGACACGCTGCGGTTAAAAATAAACAGGGAACAGTCTTATTGGTAAAGCTTAACACCTTCTGTCTCAAATTAAAATTTTTGAACCTCTAGTAATATCTACCCTTTTATTTTCCCACAGTTCCACTCACGTGCTGTTCATAAATCTTAACTCTTAAGTATGAATTTTTGGCTCCCTGTTAGATAAAATATTTCATTTTACTTGGTCAAAGCCAAACTTGGTGAAGCCTGGAAGGGCTTAGGAGGCTTCTCTTGTTCCCAGTACATCGGGATCCTTGGTAGATTTTCCTTCTAGTATGTTTGTTTGTTTTTAAAGAAAGGAGGAGTTGTTTGGAACTGCCCCATGATGGTTAGGTTGCAACATTGTCTATGCAACCAAAGCATGCGCTGCGTTTCAGCCACGGCTTTGCAGTGGCAATATCATAAATGTCCCATCACTGGAACCCAGTCTGTTTCGGCATCTCCAGGCCTCATTGCTGCTTGTAATCTGATTAAGGGGTTTGATTTGTTCCAGCCTGCAGCCTTTTGCTTTGAGTTTACCATACGCTCAAGGACACACAAGTGCCTGGTCGCTCTAGCCCTGCACTGGGAACGATCTCAACCCAGTTTTGCTTAGACCAGCCCAAGGCCGTGGCTGGTTGAGAATCTGTCCTAGAGCAGGCTTTGTTACCAAACCTTCTGTGGGCAACCATGTTCAGAAGTCCAGGGTTTTCCAGCTTGGGAACTTACAAATTTGAGAAACAAGGTAAGGCAAGAGAAATAGCGAATGTACTCATGTATTCGTTTTGTAGCATCTCTTGGAATCCTACATTTTTACCCTGTATTCTCCTGTGTCGGATTAGTTATACAGTTTTCTCAAAGGATGCTTTAAATATCTAATTGAATTTATAAATGAGCTTATCTTGTAATTGTTGAAAATGTACATTTTTTTTTCTGTTAATAAGTTAAAGACATTGCTAAACCACTAAAGCCTTTAGATAGGAAAAATTGCAAATTAAATTGGAATGCCCAGACTTTGGATCAAATCCTGGATGTGCTGCGCTTTAGCTAAAATATTTTTCTAAACCAAATGCTGTATGTACTAAATTATTTCCAGTAGGCAGTGGTGAGTGAGTCTCTTTTTATTAACTCTTCATATGAGACAGTTTGAAACAAAACATTGTCTTTCCAGCACAGAGGAAGATACTTGCTTTTAATTTAGTTGCTAAAGTGATATCACAGACTCAATGTGCTCTTTGAACAGAAATGAAGTGCTGAGGTTCTTTTGAATGTTAGATCTGAAGTTTAGCCACTATATATCAGAAGTATTTGATAGCACAAATGCACTATTAAGAAGTGACTGAAACACTTCAGGCCTCAGATTCAGGAATTTTCTTCTACAATCTTTGATGGCTTTTTGAACCGAATTCTCCTTTAAATAACTAACGAAATGCATGTATATTTATTTACAAGAAAAATCCGGATGTTTATTTGGCATTCAGCTTTCATTTTATTGTGTTCTCTAGTTGGTCAGGATTTCCAGATTCTGGGATTAAGAATGTATTTGGATGGATAATGAAGTGTCAGCATCTGGTGTGTTTTGTATACTTTTCTCTCAGGCTTCTGCTCCTAAATATTAAATAGTAAAAGGTGCTTCCTTAGGGGAAGCAGTTTCTGTAAGTGGTCTATTTGTGGTTTTCTGGGTGGACAAATAGTTACTTAGCCAAAAACTATAAAACAGATTACTTGCTATTAAACTGGTTATAAATTTTGTCTATGCCTGGCTTTGATTAACCCATTCGCCAGGGATGTGTGTTTTTCCTGTATGGAATTGTTACCAGCTGTCTTTACATAATAGGTATCTTATCTTCAGAAGTAAGCCAGTGGTTATTTTGATGTGTCATTACTGTTCAGATTCTAGTGAAAGCAAAAACAATACAACTGGGGTTTCTCTTGCTCTTTAGTCCCCCAAATCTCCCATTCTTTAAAGACATCTCAAATCTCTCAAGGAGATTACTTTGAACATTTGTGATTACCTTCACCAAAAGTGTTCAATATTTCTTCTTTTTGTTTTCTGGAATAGATAGCTATATCATTTGGTATTTAATTGCTTCAAGTTATTCTTATTGTCCTAAAAAATTAAATAATAGTATTGAACTGTGTCCGAATATTTTAACTCATGAAGTATATTAATTACTCTTCAGTAGAAGAAAAAAATTAATTTGTCTATATAAAAGTTATATGTGGAATTTTACTCTTTTTAATTTTTGTATTTCTTGTCTGTCTAGTGGTTTTCTTTTTTCTTAAATTATATAGTCAAAGGGAGTTTGAAAGATGTTTTCCAATGGAATTTTTTAACTTACTGTGTAACTCTTTCAATGTTACATTATTTCTTTTCCCTTAGATTTCAACAAGAAAAACTTAAACTTCGTGGGATTCCCACATCAAAGAAAAGTTGCAAGGTAATGTAGCCTTTGTTCAAGGAATCTTAAAGTTTGGAGATTCATAATAGCTTTTAAAACGATTCTCTAAAAGTCCTTCTTTCTTTCTTTCTTTTTTTTTAATTGTGTGCTGGGGATCAAACCTAGGGCCTTCTGTATGCTAAGCATACACTCTGCCACTGAGCTATACCCCAAACTCATAGTCTCTTAAATTCCTAAGTCTTTTATGTGTTTGGCAATATGATTTCTCCCCAGAGTTCTATTCATTAAAATATATGGAGCAAGGGATATAACTCAAAGCTTTAGCAGATTCCTAGCATGTGCAAAGACCTGGGTTCAACTGCCAGCATCACAGCCGGGGATAGGGGAAGGATCACACACACACACACACACACACACACACACACACACTATACACACATACAGAGAAAGAGAGAGAACACAAGCAAACTGACTTAACAGTATACTTGGGCAGCAGAGATTTAAATCTTTTTGGATTTAATGCTATTTATGATAACTATTTAGGGAATTGAATGTGTGGCTTATAACTAGTTGCAAACTTATAGAGCTGTTTTCTTTTTTCTCTCTCACATCTACCTCCAAGCTTGGTTTATCCCTTTATAATCTGTCCATCAAGTAAGGGAATTTTTTATTTTTTAAGAAAGAGCTTAACTTTGTCCCTCCCCCTCTCTTTCCTGTCCACCATTCCTTCCTTCCACCCATCCCTTCCTCTTTCCCTCCCTCCCTCCCTCCCTGTCTCACCCACTCCTCTGTCCATGAGAAGTTCTCATTGCCTGGTGTTAGCATCTTTCTCAGCCTGTCTGCACTTCCATTTCCCTTGGCTGCAGGATATTATGGGTGCTGATTTGATTTACCTAAGGGGCTAAGACTCCATGGCCCATCACTGATGTAAGATAATGTAAAAATGAAAGTGCATGCCAGATAAGTGGCCCTATCGCAGGTGTTCCATCATAAATCATTGTCTTTAATACCATCTGGTATTCTCAAGTAGAGGCACCAAGTCATTGTTCCCTCCCTACACACTCAGGCAGGGATCTCGACTTGTACTTCATTGTGCTAGAAGAACCCAACTCCCGATCCACCCTTCATTTCACTCCGATGCTCTTGTCCGTAATGTGTTGTGACATTGTTACTTTACTAGAAAGGACTTGCATTTTCTTGGCATCAGAAAAAATAGTTGTCAGACTCCAATTTTCATCAGGCAGAGCCTAACTCTGCATTCGAAAATTGGAAAGTTGATTTTACGAACACTCTAGATAGGACAAATCCTTGGTGTATTTCATATACTTCTAAATATAAGATAAATTAGAGCAATAATGATTCAGGGTCGTAAGGTCATCTCATCGACTGACTGATGAAATCACTAATAGAGTGCTTGACCTACCCCTGTTCAGCATCTTTGGCATGTTTTTAATAGAACTTGTGGCTCATTTCCCAATACGTCCCAGCATTTTGGCCTAATTGGAATAGAGATAATAAGTGACCAAGAAAAAAGAAAGAAAAGGAAAAGGAGTCAGGAAAAGCCTGAAATATAAAAGTCAGACACTTCAGTGGACAGCAACTCAAAGGGACACAGCAGGTGTAAAATCATGGCCATTATTTTATGGATACCTATGAAAATCACTGGCTTACTCTGCGTGGCACTAAGGACAAAATGTGCTAGAGGTCTAAGAGCCTGCCTGCTGGTCCAGTAGACACCAGCTAGAGAGATGAGGTAGATGAAGTAGTGGGCTTGCACCTCCCTTATCTTGTAATTTACAATTTTGTAGCAGAGCAAACAGACTGTAAGGGAGCCTTTGACAGAGAGGGTGCTGGAGAGTGTTTGAGGATAACAGCGCAGCATCCTTCTCTCCTTTTAATAAAATCTGCCCTTATTGCTGCTGCTGGGCATGTAAGTAGGTTAATGGGACATGTTTAAAAAACTGTATCATGGAAGCTGAAGGCAAGGTCTTCTGCACCGACTGAAGTCAAGGAAGGAAGGTACAGGAATGACAAAATGAGTCACAGGGATGGGCACTATTTCAGAGAAGATAATTGCATAAAAATGCAATGTTTCTTAATATTAGAACATTCGAATTTTATAATCACAAAAATTAAGGCCATCGTGTACTTCAGTTATAAATGGAGAGATGCTTCCATACTGAAGTACAGGCTCAGGACACTTTTGGTTGAGGAGCAAGCACCCCATGGCCTGCAGAGGTTGTCTCTCCAGAGTCCCCTCATCCTGGAGGTGGGGAGGGATGAAAAGAGGAAGAACAAGATCTGACATCCAAGCTCAGGCTGTGGAGTTCCCCATCTTGGGAGCTGGGCTTTGGCACTCTGACAACTCAGGAAAGAGAGGAGGCTGATGGAAGGGCTCTTTGGGGTATGTATGTCTAGTACATGGTTTATAAAGCTTGATCATTTTCAATATTTTATTGGAGCCATATTAGGACATCCCAACAGTATTTTCCTGATGGTGAAAGTCCAGGGAAGATATACAGATGTTTTCTAAGAACCTGGTTTCTCATGCTGATTTAAAAGGTCTTGCATTTACCACAGCTTTCACAATTCCCTTGAGCCCGAGCCCCAGGTTCCCTCTATTTGTTCTTGCTCTCTGCCATCTGCTTCCTCTGAAATTATCAGGCATGTGGCAGGAATGGGGGAGGGAGGCCCCAGGAACAGGAGTAGAGTAAGACAGCCACATGGGTTCCAGCTTATATATGTAGAGCTGTAGCTTTTAGAAAGAGATTTATACATGTATGCTAATATACTAACATTTCATGCCTGTTAGCAAGGTGGGAAAAGGTAGTAAGGAGAGACGTTTTTCCAATCATATACTGTTCTAAAGTTGAGAGAAGGACAGAAAGGAAGTGGGAGGAAGGGGAGGGGAGGGGAGGGAAGAGGAAAAGAAGGGGGATGGGAGGGGGAGGGAAGGGGAAAGGAGGGGAGGGGAGGAGGGAAGGAAGGAAAGAAGGAAGATATAACTGATGTTGCTGAATATATGTGCCTCTAATGATTCTCAATAATTGTGATTTTTGTCCCTGGTTATCACATCAACAGTGTATAAATTATATAGATACTTTATGGAAAATTATAGTATATAGCTAAAGTATTTTATAGCAGTCATTCATTCATTTAATAGATATTTACTGATCTTTTTAAGACTAGGGATATAGCTCAGTGGTAGAGCATGTGCATAGCATGAGGCCCTGGGTTTGATCCTCAGCACCACACACACACACACACACACACAAAGCCTATCAAAATATTTAAATTAGCAACTAAATACTCAATTAAAAATGGTATGCTACTTCTTAAGTAGGGTACATTTCTGCAGTTATTTAACTTTTTTAGGAGTATACTAAATCACACACCTGCATATAACACTGAAAATAATCTCACTACCTTACAATTCACTGTTTAGACATTGGAGTTATTTTTTTTTTCCCCCAGTACTGGGGATTCTGCCCAGGTCCTTGCATGTGCTAGGCTATCACTCTACCACTGAGCTAGCCCTTGTAAAATTTTATTTTGAGACAGGGTATCTTACTAAGTTGCTCAGGCTGGCCTGAAACTTGCAATCTTCCTGCCTTAGCCTCCTGAGTAGAGCTGGGATTACAGGTGTCTTGCCACTATACCAGCTCATTGGTATTAATTCTGATTAGGCAGATTGTCTTTAAGCTAATCTAGTGCATGGTTTATAAAGTTTAATTATTTTCAATATTTTATTAAATATGTGAGTCCATGATAAATTTTTGAATATAAGTTTTCTGCATTTACATGCGGTAAACTTCTGATGGATTTGGTTCTACAAAGGTTTGATGGTGCACCATGCATTAAAATGTGCAGAAATTCCTTCCAATTTAATTTGTACATAGGGTATAGATTGTTCATGTGCCCCTCATAGACAGTATGCCCAGCAACTTACTCAGAATCTTCTTAGGGCTATATGGAAATGTACCCCTATAGAGACAAATAGGAAGAGGTACAGGGTATATTAGACAGTTTCACATTACTACAACAAAATACCTGCCACAGGCTACTTATGAAGTAAAGAGATTTATTTGGCTCATAGTTCTAGAGATGCAAGTCTAAGATTGGGCAGCTCTCTCTGATGAAGGTGGCACAACATGGCAAGAGCATATATCAGAACAAGTAATTACGTCTCATGACAAGAAGAGCCTGAGAAGAAAAAACCAGGATCACACAACCCTCTTTCAGAGGATCCCCAATGACCTAAGGACTTCTCACTAAGTCCTTCCTCCCAATAGTGCTACCCAGGGAACCAAAGCTTTACACTGGATCTTTGGGGGGCACCTATTGAAACCATAGCAATGGGGAAGGTCACTTCACCCTGAGTGTATTTTCAGGACTATTATTCACTTCTGTGGGGGTAATTGATGTTGAAGAATGGCAGTGTCTTGTTTTCTGGGTTTTTTTTCTTTTTGAGGCAGCAGCACCATCTGCCTTACTAGACTCCAGGCACATTTCCATCCAAGACCCTGAGGTGTAGCCAGCAGTCTCGGGCAGCTGCACACCTACAGTACTGGAGCAGGAGCTAGATTTGAATCTCGTCTCTCCTTATCAAATCTGTGTCCTTAGACACATCATGTAAACTAAAGATGAAATCCTTCTAGGGGTGTTCTGGAACCAGCTGGTACTGCACTCACTTGTGTGTGTCTTGCTCCTAACTTTAAGCCAAGTGGGTCCTGTGGGTAGCCCAAATTGGCCATGGTATAGATACTGACACCACCAGCAACTGATGCAAAGCAGTGCTCATTGCATGACCTCTTGGGTGAGCACACACCTCATAGGACCCAGTGGATACCATTAAGATGACACCTGGATATGCTTATCACAGGGAAAAGTGCATAGTGAGTGCTCAATCCCTCTATAAGTCTCCCCTTTTATTCTAAGACTATCTTTATGGGCCTCTCATACCTTTTGATTGTGCTTTGGTTTCTTGATTGTTTGAAGGCCTGTGTGACTTTAATAAAATTTTAACAGTGGAAGACAGTATATAGGTCACTTCAAGTTGCTAATTTTCTGAGGAAGAAATTGTAGCACAGAATTGTAGAAATTGAGAGGCTGAGCAATTAATCCAAGTATACACAGATGGGGTGTAGAATATCATTGATCAGAACAAAGGAATATGACTCCAAGAGCCTGCAACATTTTCACCACCTTACACAAGTGCTGTTCCTACTTGCACAAGAAAATCATAATATTAACATGAGCATTAATAGGGCCAGGGATATAGTTCAATGGTAGAGCACATACCTAGCATGCGTGAGGCTGGTTTCAATCCCCAGCATTGAAAAAAAAAAAAAAAGTACAAATTTTAAAAGTTTACTAAAACGCCCTCCAAAAGAAAACATTTTTTACTATGTGTGACAATAGCGTGATTCTTTATGTTCTGCATTTTTTTCACATAATGACCTATATATTGATTTAAATGGTCTTTCAACACTTTATTAATGGAATGACTTTTAGTTTTCAGAAAGAGTTCTCATTTGACAATAAAGAAAAACTCACTTCCCGCAAAAGTAGATTCGATGCTGAAATTTTAACTACACTTCCTAAAGGTAAGACTTTTTCTAAATGGCTAGCCAATATCTGGGCACCCAAGGATAGCATTATCTAAGTCTTTGGAGGGATTCTCTCACTTCTCATCTCATCCAAGAATGAGCTTCAAGTCCTGTGCCTTCTTCAAATTCTCACATTTCTAGCCTTAGGCATCCTCAAGATTTTACTGGAGGCTTCAGGAGGAGGGGGAGAGTCAACTTTCCCTCTTTTCACTCCTTACTTTAACCTTCTCCAAGTGCTGTACATCCCCCTTGCCCCTATTCATGTCCATCCACTTACTCCCTCTGGGGTCTTCTCCCCTTGCCCTTGGCTTCTTCCCTTTACACTCAATATCTTAGAGCTCCCTACTGTGCGATCAACAGCTGGTGCATACGGTATCATAATTCTTCTTCCCCTAAGTCATTACTTACACATGGTGGGTGAAGTTTCCATTGTAAAAGGTGCACAATCTGTAAAAATGTATATAACCTACTCTAGGCTGACCCCCTCTAGTTTTGTCTCTGACATGATGTAAGCATTGCTTGATCTGTTTGTCACCAACTGCAACACAAGTACAATGATCATTTAGTAATAGCTCACAAAATGTCCTCATCCCTAGTTAACTACAGTTAAACCAGGTTGGATGGAAGGGCAGATTTTTTTCTCTACTCTGAAAGGGGGGGGGGAATCAAGACCCAAATAAATTAGATCAAAAGAAATATTCTTTTAATAGGAACTAAATCCAGTTTAAAAGGTACACTGACAAATTGGAATATATCCTGAGGAACGGAGTGGTTGATTTGCCTAGACTCCATGGATTTCACCTGGTGAAGAAAACTTAAATAGGGACACGTTGCTATTGTCAAATACTAACAAAGCTGTCGACTGAAATATAGGCTTATTCTATGTTTGCCCCAGGGGCCAAGAAATAGGACTAATGTGCAGAATTAAAAGGAGGTAGATAAGATTTCACATGAAAAAAGAAAACTGCAATAGCTCATGGTACAGTAGTCCCCCTTTATCTGTATGTGATACTTTCCAAGAGCCCCAGTGGATGCCTGAGGCTGCAGATAGCACCAAGCCCTATATATGTGTACTTTGTTCTTTCCTATACACACACGTATGATAGTTTAATTTATAAATTAGGCACAGTAAGGGATTAACAGTAATAACTGCTAATAAAATAGGACAATTATAATTATAATTATAACCAGATACTGTACTAAAACTTTTGAGAGTTTCCATCTCTCTCTTCAAAGAGCCAAGACAAATACTAATATTTTCAGACTGCAGTCAACCACAGTAACTGAAACTACAGAAGGTCATACTGCAGATAATGGGGGAACTGCTATACCCAGAAAGGAAATGAGCCACATTGTGACCTCATAAGCTCTCTATAAGGACCAAGCATGTGGTCATGTGTTTACGGTCGGGCAGATGCTGTGGAGAGTTCTATGTGGATGGGATGTGGACCAGGTGCAAAATGAAATGGACCTTCCAATTTTTAGAATTCCTTGTGAAAGACAAAGAAACCCAATTTAATCCGTGTCAAATTAAATGTTTAAAATCTGTGAATATGATCAAAACAAAGTAGAAGAATGAACAGATTGATTTTGGCAATGGCTGAGAAAAGTAGACTGATTAGGCACAGTTTTATATAACAAAAGTTGTTTCCATGAGGAGAAAGGGTCCCTCTTCTCCCTTATCTACCCAAGTTCCCTTTTTTGATAAATGGCACCATAGATAATACCACCACCATAAAAACTAGGAACGGTTTGAGATGCCAGGTTCCTTAAAACTCATCATATTATAACTTCATATATAACAAAAACTTTAAAGACATGTTTATTAACATTTTATTATGGAATGTATCTTAATTGATTATAAAAATATAATTTTCACAAACCAAAGATGATGACTTTATATATTAACACAATTTTTATTTCTAAACTAATGAGGCTGTAAATCTTCAAAGTGTGTTTAAAAGTGCCCATGCCCCTCTTCCCCTGAATTTTGTCTTAGTTCCCCATGGTCTTATTTCCACATAGTCTTTGCTATCTGTGACTTGGGGCAGGCACGTTTGGAAAGACCCAGGTATTACCAGCCATCTCTCTGTTTCTCTGTCTTAAATTTGTTAGTGATTTTGTCTATTGGCTTTTAGCAATATAATGTTAAAAATGGAACTGATTAAATTTTGTTTCAGAGACAAAGAGTTTTATGTCTGTTTATAAGTTTGCAGAAGTTTCTTTCTGTTCATTGAGTGAGGGATTCTTGCTCATATGAAACTGGGTCTCAAAATGGTGGTTTCTTTTTCTCTTAGGGACTTTCCTTAACTGTGTATCGCAAAAGAGAAATCAAAGAATTAAAAAATCTTTACCTATGTAAAGGTTATATTGTTAACATAGATTTTCCATTTTGGAATTATGGGATGGACCAAATGCATTACTCTCTTTAACAGCTTTATTAACATATAATGCACATACCATAGAATTTGTCAATTTAATGCATAGAATTTACTGGCTTTTAGTAGTTTCACAGAGGTGTAGGTCCATCTCCACAGTCAATTTTAGAACATTTTCATTATTTCAAAAAGGAAACCCTATACCTTTCAGCTGTCACTCCTTCCCCTCATTCCTCTTGATTGCTAATTACTTATTTTACAAGCTGCTTGTCTTTATATTAGTGGCTGCCTTCCAACTGTGAAAATTAAAGTGTGTTACTCCTATGGGAAGACGGATCAGTGTTCAGAATGTGGCCGGTCTGGCCTGAGCTCCCAGGCTGTCAAGTGACAGAGGAGAGAGAAGTAGAGAAGTGTGCTTGGCACTATCCTACCACTTGTATTTCTTTGGAATATTCTATGGTTCTCAGGTGTGTAGAACCAAATTCAACAATGTCTTTGCCAGAGATTTTCTGTTTCTCAGAGCTAGTTGAAGAAATTATATTTCCCAAGAAAATCACCCAGAAGACTAAAATATTCTAAGTATTGGTGTTATATATTCTCATTACAAAGAATATTTGATAGATACCCTTATAGAATATTATGGCCCCACTGTCAACTTTCCTTAATTGGCCTTACCTGAAAACTGAACAACCAGCTCCTCCAACCAATAACTTCAAAATGAACTCATAGACTCCATATTGTCATAGAAGTACCACTCTAAATTATTCAGATGGGTAGAGACCAAGGTGGCAGGTGTAAATGGAAAAAAATCCTATGCACGAAAACTATTTAAAAGCAAAATAGAACATTTCTCTACAAAGGAAATTTGACCATCTATTCGTGTTTGTATCTGGATTGCTTGACGTATTTAGTGTTACTAAATCTGAACCAGTTTTGAATTGTAATTATGACACAGCACACAGTCAATTAAATTAGGGCTATTAGAATCTAATTTTTAAAAATATCCCTATTGTTGATGGGCCCCTGGTGCATGCCTATAATCCTAGTGACCCAGGAGGCTGAGGTAGGAGAATCATAAGTTCAAGACCAGCCTGGGCAACTTAGAGAGACCCTGTCTGAAAATATAAATAAATAAATAAATAAATAAATAAATAAATAAATAAACAAACAAACAAACGAATGAATGAATGAATGAATGAATGAATGGACTGGAGAGGTAGCTCAGTAGTAGAACTCCCCTGGGTTCAATCCTTAATACTACCAGAAAACACACACACACATGTGCACCCACACACACGTATACTATATACATTTTTCCTATTGAGATACACACACACACACACACACACACACACCCCTATAAGACTATTGCTTAATTTTAGGAAATATATATGGAAGAATTTACAGATAAAGAGGCATCATGCTGCAACTTACTCAAATATTCTGAAAAAATATTATGTGAAATTATATAAAAATTTTAAAAGGAAAGAAACCTTCAAGATTATCAGAAGATAATTTCAGTAGAGCTGTAAATGGTCTCTATATGTGAAACAATGGAGTTACAATATAGATTTCCACAGCAGGGCTAACTTCAGTCCATGACTTTTAGTATTATTATCTCTTTTACAATTCTCCAAAATAATAAACCTGTACAGAAATTCAACCAGAGGGCCTAATGAGGACCATAAGAGCTTATGTAAAATTTGGGATAAAATAGAAAGTGCACACACATCAGCAATCCATATAAAATGTCATTCTTTCTTTTACAACTAAGGTGGTTTCCCATAAGATATATAAAAGTAGTTGTATTACACATTTGTTTTACTAATTTTACTTTTAAATTATGGACTTGGAGAAAAGAAGCCAAACTCAAATACTTTTTTTTCTTGTGCATAATTTCTTTTACATGATTTTTGTCTTGCACATAATTTCTTTCTTATAATCTCATGTCTATAGGAATGAGACAAATCTTACTTACTTATTTGTTAGAAAAAATAGACTGAGAAGTAATTATCTGTTTACTGGAGGGTTCCCCCCACCAAAATACTCACTATTGATTTCAACTAAGAATTGATAAGTTCACCAATACATTTAAAGTCTATTTTAACTTATGGCCACATTTCATTGCTCAGTAAAATGATCAGATAAGACTGCAAGGTATTGTTTCAAGACCCACTATGTTCATGGGTGGATACTAGCTTCTGGGAGCAATAGTTTTGAGTTTGAGTCTGTGTGTGATGGAGAAGAATACAGTAATGGGCAGTCGGATTTGTCTTGGATAATCTATGGCATTGGAGTCTGGGGATCAGGCTGCCGATCTGAAATTTTTGTACTAGGATCAATGGGTCTCAATCCAAGACAGTTCCAACAGGACTTTGAAAACATGGGCATTTTGACTTCGGATAACTTAGCATTTAATAGGAGAGAACCAGGGATATTCAACATGCCGTAGTGCAGGGCTTACATTTCTTACATAAAAGGCCATCAGCACCCTCACAGTGATCTATATATTCCGGAGCCAGTCTTCTGAGTCTGTGACCCTAATGGCATACATCTGTGCATCTGTTAAATGCTACTCTAAGACTTTCCTTCTGTTGCCCAGAAGTCAGTGGCTACCAGATGGTAATGTTTCCTTCTGAACTGGTCAAACTGTTCTGTCCAGAAAGGGGCACAGCGGTCCCTGGAGGACAACGTGATCCACCCCATCCTTCTCTTTGCTGTCACTGCTCCAGTCTGAGGTTCAGCTTCTGTGATGACCAATCCTTTTGACTGTTGCCTGCCCCCTCTTTATCTTATCAGTCCTTATTGAAAGAGGGTGTTAATGTTACTGGACCCAAGTCCTTCTGCTCACCACGCAAAAGCCAATACTCAGGAGAAGAGAGTTGGTAGAGTGGAAATCAGATTTATTCAAGGACTATCCTTGAGAAGATGGACAGGGCTGTTGTCCTCAAAGCACCATCTTGGGGAACTCAAGTACACAAAAGGGATTTTATGAGGAGGGAAAGGAAGTACATAGGACTGTGGAAAGTAAGGCCACATGCTGAGCAAGGTCTTCATCATTCAAGACACCCATCTCCTTTTCTCTTCCTTTGGCTGGTAATCTCAGTAGGCCTTGATTTCCTAGGGCTAGTTATGAACACGTTATTTTTTCCACAATTTAACAGCACAACATTGTATTAGTCAAGAATTAAAAAGGGTGTGACACATCTGATATTTTCTAAAGGTCACTGGATGTTCTGGATTCTATAAATCTTAATATCTTAATTTCTTTAGAATTTAGAAAGATGGGCATAGGGATGGGAAACAAAAGTAATTCTTTGAAAGACAGAGTGGCAAAGGAGCAGCCACTCTCTTACTATAATGGCATTAGAAAAAGTAGAGCTTTGTGAGTGAGAGGATAGCGTGTTCTCCCATTGAGTTGATCTTCCTGCTGGAATATGGAAATGAAAATAGCAGTAGCAACTTGTTGTTCAACTTTTTCACGTACTGTAGAGATCTTTTTTTTTTTTAAGATAATTTCTACAGAAAATTTTAAAATAAGCCTTATTGAAATGATAGTGATTTTCAGTAGTTTCTAATTAGAAAAACAATATATATATGTCTTAACTTTTTCCAGTGGCAGTTATATAACACTGTTTTTGTTTATGTTTTTTTTATCTTATCCAGTTGAAATAATTTGGGGATAGAAAAGGTAAGTTTCATTATACTTCAGGACCCCAGTAATACACTACTATATGTCTCGGTTGTGATTTTGAGGCATGGATTTAAGACGCCTCTTTCAGGAACCCTGGAATTTGGTTTCAATAAACTCTTGAGCAGTCTCATCAAAAACACAGCCCCATTCTCTTCTTGGGGTTTAAATAATTAATTAAAACTCTCTGGTAAATATTTTCAAAATATGTACTATCGGCATTAAAGTTTTATCACCATAATCTCATCAGAGCTAATTTGTTAATTGGGAAGCTTTTATTGGCTTCCTTATGCAAGGCAGGAGGCAGGATGCACCCTGATCATTATGCCCTTGTCTTCTAAATAGGAACATAATTAACATTACAGAGCAAGTTCACCTCAGCCTTCATCTACTCTGATTCTTGCAGAAGCCAATAGAGAGATTTCAAAGTCAGAGAGAGAGAGAAAGAGAGACAGACTTTATTTTGAAGCCAAATGCTAGTTTTAGGTGGCAGTCCTTTAAAAGTAATAAATTCCCAAACACAAAAGGCATTATAAAAGTCGCATATATATTTGTGTGGTTTTAGACTCATTCCTAAAACTGACTGCTTTAAATAAGAATCAGAAATTAAAGCAGTTGAAAATTAAATTCCATGTATTCATATTCCGCCCTCTGAGTTTCTCCTGTGACTCAGACTTTTAGCACTGTCATTGGCTGCAGGCTATCCAGCCACCCTGTCCCTCTGCCTTTCTTTCTCTCCCACCCTTTCCTGAGTCTTCAATAAGAGCCACTCAGATGAACCCTTATGAATTGAAGGAGGAGGAGAGAATAAAGACCTTTATTTTCTACCAACTTGGGCCATTTCTCCAAAGAAACAATTGTCTGGGATCTGAGGTCAGTCATATTCCTGTAGTTGGTGTCACATGAGAACCTCCTAGCCTCAGCAAAACATTTTTTGTTCATCCAGCGCTGCCAGAAAAATTGGGTAATCATTTTATCCATCATCCACCTAAATTATAGCTGGAAACAAACACTGGCATTTCCTTCCAGTAAAAGCCTGTAAGGGGAGATGTAGGTCCTGCATTGACCTGAACTGTATTTAGTCTGGGTATACCGCGTTAGGTAGCACAATCATGTAGTTAAGATATTTACAGATTGAATAATAAGGTGAAATAGGAGTGACTATGAATTGGTGACTGTAGCTTTCTAATGGCCCTCCGGCTCTTCGGAGCACTAGTCTTTACTTTTGTAAAAGTTTTCCAGACTATAAGCTGAAAATACATTATTAAGTTATACCAAAGTTAGTAAGAGATATTTGAATTTCTGCTAAAAACACCTTAGTAGAGAGATCTTGCAAGTGAGGCCTCCTTTGACTCCCCTGGGTGACAGAGAACATTTTTAGCCTGGATTAGTTTATTTCTTAGCCTAGGATATGTGTGTATGGTGGGTGGAGGGTTGGGATTGTAATATGGCTGTGTGTACATGCTTATTCATTTGGCATCTGCCTGCCCTACTAGAAAACAAACTCCAAGAAAGTAGGAACTTGGTCAGTGTCATGTATCTCTGCTGCATGGGAGCCAAGAACAGAAATTTGAGTTGAAGCATATATTGAATGAATGAATGAAATGAATGCTTGACCACTAACTACTGTACTTTCTTTTTGCTCCTTTTGGCTTTGTTTTAGTTGCAGAATTAAGAAAACTCTTTGAACCAAAGAAAGAACTTACAGAAATGAAAAGGTAAGATAAGTAGAAGAGTGTGGCAGTGTGGCAAAGCAGTATTCGATTGTCCCTGAGCATTGATTTTTGGGGGCTCACTAAGACTTTTTTTGGTGTATTGCACAGAAAAGAGAGAATTGCAAGGCGCCTGGAAGGGATTGAAAATGAAACCCAGCCCATCCTCTTGCAGAGCTGCACAGGATTAGTGACTCATCGCCTGCTGGAGGAAGACACGCCCAGATACATGAGAGCCACAGACCCTGCCAGCCCCCACACTGGTGAGCATGCATGACCATCATCAGGCAGGCTGCTCAGCATGTTACCCATCGCCTTTTTAATCTACTGGTATTGGAGAGATATTCAACAAAAGTGAATTGTGTGCATATACTCTTTATTAAATGTGTTTATTAAAAACAGCCAGAGCAATCATCATGCATGTGGTCCTCTGGTGTCACAGCAGTAAAAAATGACTCCCCTTAGCACATTGCGGGGGAACTGTTGACCAGCCATTCCCCCCCCCCAGGACTGGGACTCCTCAAAGGAGTGCTCAGCACAGGATCTGCAGTCAAAAGCACTTAGGAAATGTTTGGTAAAGGAATGAATGAGATAGGTGCCTTATAGTTCTCACAGTGGGTTTGAACTAGAGGCCCAGGTTCCCAGCAAAAGAGGCAACTGCTTTCAGCAGGGAGAGTTGAAGGCAGAACTGGACCTTGAATGATGAGGAAACTTACTCTAAGTGTTTATGCAACAAAGCATTCTTTTAAAATTGTTTTGGAGTATGTAAATGTACTGCATGTTGATTTCATACTAAGCAGCATGTCAAACATGATGTCTTCTTCTTGGTTATGCAGAGTCACTGCTATGGACATCAGCTTGACCTCAGGAGAAAGCAATGCTCTCGGGGCTGATGTCCCCACCCCCAGTCCCTGGCTTTGAGGCCTGCGTTGCTACTTTTTATAGCCAGTGTCTTCTGGTTTCTCCCTCAGAGAGGAATGTTGATCTCACATCGTAATGTTACCAGTTTGCTTGTCTATGGTTTCTGATTTTCTATAGCAAGAAAACTATAGAGAACTAAGTTTTTTTTTAAATGCCATAACATGAAGAATCAATAATAGACAGATCAGAATACCAAAATTTATAGCCAGAAGCAAATCCTAGTATATATAAAATATTCAATCATGCAGCATATAAGCATATTTAAGCATCATATATTAGTCAGGAAAGAATTACTTCATAAAATAGTATTGGGGAAATAAGCTCACCAAGAGGGGAGAAAAAGGGGGCATATTCCTCTTTCTGCTTCAGTCCAAACCCCAAAATAAGATTCAGTTGCTCATGTGATTGTTTTAAACAAAATAATTTGAAACATGAAAACATGGTCAAATATTTAATTCAAGTGGAATAGAAAGTGACATTTGAAGCACAGAAACAATTGAAGATAGTGGTTATCACAAATGATAGTAGTAGTAGCAGTATGTAGTCACTTGACCTGACTACTTAAGGAATAACATCTTCACTTCAAAGAAAATCTTACTCACGTACACTAGAAACAAAACTAAACCTGGGGAGTGCAGGACTGGGTTTCTGTGTGACCTTCACACCCTTTACCCCAGCTCTCAGACTTGTTCAGCAGCCCAGGTAATTTTGGAAATATTCCTGAAGAAGACACAGGGCTAGTACTCCTATAAAAATTTACATGAACCAATGAAAATGACACTGTCAGTATTGTATAGGGCAATAAGACTGGGCAGACATTCCCTAGAAGGAGAAGAGAATATAAATATAAATGAATATAAAGAGAATATAAATGGTTAATAAACAGATGAGAAAATGCATATATTCTTTTTTTGATCAAATGCAATTTTTTTAAACAATGAGCACTCATTTCTAAGGAAGCATGTATTGCAGATATAAGTTTCAGTTGCTGCACACTTATAGAAATTTAACAGTCTAGCATGTTTCTCAAAATGATGTACCCTTTGATAAAGCAATTCTACTATTATACATTGTTCTGCTGTGATAATTATCAGAAAATCAGGCTGATTAAAAGTTAGAAACATATGCCCAGAAATATGGCAAGGGTTAAACAGACTATGGAATGCCTGTTGGATAGAATATTATAAGGCTTAAAAAGTGTTCTTTAAAATAAGATTTGCAAATGTAAGAAAATATTATTTATAAGGCATTAATAACATTAAGTGTTTCATAGAGAAAAAAGAAATGAGCTATATAAAAGACTAGAGGAATACATAAAAATGTCAAGTTGTGAGTATATTAGTACATAGTGTGATTATTGGTGATTTGGGCTTTTGCCTTTATGTGTTTTCTTGTTAGACATTTTCCACACCATACATGTGTGCTACAGTTGGAAAAAGCCACTTCTGTAAATATACATATATCATATATGTTACATATTGTTAGGTTGTATATAGAGAGAGACAGGTCATATTATTGTGTTTACTCTCAGATCCTATGAAACCACAACACATCACTTGTCAAATTACAGCAGTTATCATATGTGCTGTACTTTCTAGAAGACTCTAAAATTGTCCTTTGGCTTCATGTGTGAAGTATTAATTTTTAAAAAAAAAAGGAAAAGAATTAAGGGAAAATAAGCACTGAGCAAGGACTGAGGAGCCCTGGGGAGTGCAGGACTGGGTTTCTGGGTGACCTTCACACATTTTACCCCAGGTCTCAGACTTGTTCAGCAGCCCAGGTGAATCATTTTAGGTCTGTAGACCTACGTAAGAAATCAGTTCCTCACAGCACAAACACTACAGTGCATATTATGGGCAGCATAGAATGTCTTTGTGTGTGTAAATATTGTAACTATAAGTTTTTCCTGGAACCTGTATGTATTATGCATGTGGTCTTCTCGTAGGTCGATCAAACGAAGAGGAAGAAACATCTAAATCTTCTTTAGAAAAGCAAATTCAATCCAAATATTGCACAGAAACCCCAGGGGTCCATGGTGATCCACCATATGGTTCAAGTACCATGGACACCCACGGTCTCGAGTCCAAAGCTGAAAGAATTGCAAGGTACAAAGCAGAAAGGAGACGTCAGCTGGCAGAAAAATATGGGCTGACTCTGGATCCTGATGCAGACTCTGAATATTCATCTCGGTATACCAAGTCTAGGAAGGACCCTGATGCTGTTGAGAAACGGGGAGGAAAATGTGAGAAGCAAGAAAAGCCAAGCAAAGATTTGAGTTCTCCATACTCCAGGACTGAGACCATGGGGCTCAGGACCTGTGCAGTGGAATCCAGGGACTATGCCCTCCACAGAAGTGAGGTTTCTGATAAGGAGGTGCTGCTAAATATAGAAAACCAAAGAGGATGTCAAGAGCTGAGTGCCACCCGGCAGTCTCAAGACCTGTCCCCAACAGTTGAGAGTTCCTCATCCTTCTCGTTCTCTGGGCGAGACTCCTCCTTCGCTGGGCGAGACTCCTCCTTCACTGAAGTGCCAAGGTCCCCAAAGCAAATGTCCTGCTCCTCTCTTCAGCAACCTGCCTCCCTGAGCCACTCCAGTGGTGACCAGACACTGACCCCAGAGGCTCGGTCCAGGTAAGCACACAGCCCAGCACTAACCATCCCGAATCCAGGAAAATACCTGTACCCTCTTTCTCTGCCTTGCTGTGTGGTAGAGTTTGCATATTCTTGGCATTCTATTCAGGTCTCCACTTATTGGAGCAATAATAATTTTTTTTGTAATTTCCACAATATCAAAATAAGTTCGACTAGCAAAGCCCAGGACCTGTAATCCTAGCAGCTTAGGAGGCTGAGGCAGGAGGATGGCAATGTCAAAGCCAGCCTCAGTAACTTAGACCCTTGCAATTCAGTGAAACCCTGTCTCTAAATAAAATATTTAAAAGGGTTGGGGATGTGGCTCAGTGGTTAAGCACCCCTGGGTTCAATTCCCAGTACCAAAAAAATAGAAAGGGTTGGGGATGTGGCTCAGTGGTTAAGCACCCCTAGTTCAATCCTTGGTCCCCAAAATAGTTCTACTAAAGCAAAAAGGCTCGTACCTTTTTGTATGTATGATTTTTATGTTCTTTTTGAAAATAACAAACTTTTAGGTGTCTCTAAACTTTCATGGAAGTCTCCCTTCAGGACTCTTCTTTTTCTTACCTGCTTTTCATAATTTATCTTTTTGTTTTTCTATAGTTATGCTTAAGACTTAGGGCTTTTCACAGTTGATTTTGTCTGATGTTTAGAATCACAGCAGAAGGAGCAAGACCCACTAGTGGGAGTCTCTCAATTTAGGGTGCAGAATGTCTGTAGTGTACACTGCATGTCACTATGTAAGTGTGTCAATACACTAAGGCACAGTTGTGTATAAGGACACATCATTAAAAAGGACAGACATTAAGAGAAACCATTGTGGAAAAGGACCTACCAAAAATAACAGCTCCTATGGGGGAAAACTGGGAGAGAGGTTAAATCAGAAAGTCAAATGCCAGGAGAGCCTATGTGTTTGCCTCTAAATTTAAACTGAAAAAGCATGGTGATCATATTTAAAGCACAATTTACTAAGATATCCTCTTTAAGGGTTTAGAGTCATAGTCTAGGTAGATTCCTAAGTCTGTTTTCACTTCAAACAAGCAGTACTTTCACAGGTAGATTGAGGAAGAATGAGAAGCCACAGTGAAGCAAATTTATTCTATGAAAAATATGTATATGTGTGTGTTAGAAAAGCGTGTGTGTGTGTGTGTGTTGGAAAATACTCTTGTGTGATTCACCTTGGGACAGAGTGATGAACAACACCTGGTCTCTTTTTTAAGTAGCAGTAATATGCCTGAAGCAGATCATTTTAGTTATTGAAGTTTATTAAGCCAAAGATCTGTCCTTACTTACTTGATCATCTGAACTGACATATTTGGAGATGTCAGTTTCTAAGATAAATAAATACTGTTCATCCCAAGAATGTATTTTTGAGGACCTTTGTTCAGACTTGGGACTTAATTCCTTGAAACTGAGAGACTGTGATCTGTTCTCTCACATTTTGAAAGGGGAGATATTTTGTTTGGTAAATTAACACTTCACCATAGAAACAGTGTTCTTAGCTTTGTCACTCTCTGTCAAAGGTAATCCTTTTTGTGTTTTGTAGGTAGGACAAAGAAGCCTAATAGATTCCAATTTAGGAAAAAATATTGAAGATATACAATTATGTTACCTAAACAGTGGACAGGGTGGGGGACAATTGGGAGTTAGCCCAGCACTAGAGCACATGCTTAGTAGGCATTCAATCCCTGGCACCCAAAAAAGAAAAATCTAATTTCAAATTGTCATACAATGACTGCTGTTTCAAGTTGTTTTCAAGGTATCTAGGTTAGTCACCTAGATGAGCTGGGGTAATAGTAATAGGTAATATAATAGGTTCTCAGTGGGCTAGGGACTTAGCTCAGTAGTAGAGCACCTGTCTAGCATTCATAAGGCCCTAAAAAAGAATTGAAAACATGATCAGTAAGATTTTGAATAATTTGTGATCATAATTAAAACTTTGTTGAACATTCCAAGTAAAAGATAGGATATTTTATATACTTGATAGTTTGTGGGTTAAAATCTCTACCTGCCCCTCACCCCCAACCCAACCCTACCCTCTGAGACCTCACCCCTCTGTGCTAGGGATGGAACCCAGGTCCTCACATGCTAGGCAAGTGCCTTACCAGTGAGCCACATGCTCAGCCCCATGTTAAAATCTTAATATGCAAAGATGTGAAAAACTGAAAGTCTTTAGTCATAGGAAAGAGTTTGTTTTCCTGCTGAGCCCTGTAACAACAAGAGCCACTTCTTTAAAGGTTATTTGAAGAGCCATATTACCACAGAGTCTTCATAAGCCCCGTCTTAGCTTCACTTTCATAATGAAAAGCTAGAAAGAATCACTTTATAAAAGAATTCCAGTACAGGCATTTGCTTTTTATTTTTTTAAGCCATTCAAAGTGTACAATCTTATGATTCACAGGCAAAGAAACACAAACTCATTCATCATATATATGAGAAAAACACCTGAGATCCATTTATGTAAATAAGAAGAGAGATGGAAAATAATGTGTGAAGAATATGATATTTTTAAAAATTGAAGTTTACTTTTTAATGATTGTAGTTATCCAGTTTGTAAAGGTGCATTTGAAATGGATTAATATTCTGCTTAGATGTCCTTTATCTAGAACTATGAAATTCAAGCTTCAGAAAGTCATTCTTGTCTGATTTCTATTTGGGAGGAAGCAAGATAAACAAAAAAATACTTTCTAACCTAAAACACTAACAAAAGAAATCACACCCTGTGACCTGAATAACCAAAAAGGAAAATGATAATGTCATTTGATATGAAAATATGTAGCAAAAGTTTAAGAAGATTAAAAAGCAAGAGAAAAAGTATCCACAAATAAAGTAACAATAACTGTAAGCTGGTTTTGTCTTGTTTTTGTGTTTGCCTGGCAGGGTTGGAACCTGGGGCTTTGTGCATACTAGGCTGGCACTCTACCGTTGAGCTACACCCCCAGCCCACAGTTGTTTTTTTTTTTAAATATTTTTTCCCTTAGTTGTTGATAGATCTTTGTTTTATTTATTTATATGTGGTGCTGAAAATCGAACCCAGTGCCTCACCCATGCAAGGCAAGTACACTAGCGCTGAGCCACAGTCCCAGCCCCCACAAGACAGTTTAATGTTTCATTTTTTTCATGGGTGTGTTCTATCCTGAAATGGAATATTTTTCTTTCTGCTTTACTCTCTCATCACTGAGCTCTGCCAACATTTTTGGCTGGTAAATCTTTGAATCAACACATTCTCATGTCATAATTTTGTGCTAAATAGCAGGAGATTGTTTCCTTTCATTAAGTATGAACACACTAGTCATGAATATACCATCCAAAGATTATCTACAGTGCCCTCGAAATTCAAATGTGAGCTCGAGTCTCTTGCTGAGAGCCCTTGTGTACACTCCCATTGGCACACGCCTGTGCCTGTGGATAGGAGAATCATTAGTCCGCATACTTCACTGTGCTGGGCTGTTTTTAAACATTGTAGGTTAAACACCAGTCTTTAGGGTAGTATTTGCCTAAGGCATGTATTTATTTTGGAATCATTTAGTATTCAGCTTATATGATAAAGAAGGTTTTAAAAGTTAATTAGTATATTGATGGATTGTTACAAGATCTTTAGCCCCAAAATCCTGTTAGTTGCCCAAGAATTCAGATGAACACTTTGTTCTGAAGAAAACTAAGAATATACACCCAGCCCATACTCCTCCAGTTCTTCCAAACCCTATATGGAATTTTAGATATTGTGTTTTATGGAGAGGTAGTGTCACTGAAATGAATCATTCTTTGTTAATTCATCCACAGTGAATTTTAGAATAATCCATAGGATTATTCACCATATATATATATGTATATATATTATATATTCACTATATATATATATATATATATATATATATATATATATATATATATATCCCTATGGATTATTCAGATTTTTAAAAATCTGAATTCCTGCTACAACTAGAAATCCTGACCCCAAGACTTGTTAAATTTGCTATCTTGTGCAACTATTATTTTTAAAAGAGAAAAAAAAATGGAAATGTACCATATTTGTTACTTTTGTGAGTAAGAAACTCATGGCCTTGGGCCCCCAGCTGCTTTTTGCTTGAGCATCAACTGTCACTATTCTCATTAAACTATGTGCCTGACAAAGAGAAAATGAAAGGGAACTTACACTTTATTTTCTAATGATGATCCTCTCTAGAGGATCCTTGTTCCTTATTGACCTTGGGAGAGTTGCTATTGGTGGACGATGGCTCTGGCAGGCTCCTCATGGACACTGAGGGATGTGTAAATCAATGCTCTCTTCCCTAACATAATGCAAGGCTTTTCATGGATGGCCAAGATGATACCCGATTCACCTGTTACTTCTCAGAGCTTTTTCAGCTCAGTACCCTGCACATAGTAGGAGCTCAATAAACATTTGTCAAGTGAACCTGAATTAGTATTTGTATACATTGTGTTGTTGTATGATTCAGTGATAAAAGGAAAATGCAGGTTGGTTCAGGAAGATGAAGCAGGGTACCCTCCAGAGTGAAGCTTTTCTGCAACACCTTAACTTGAAGACTGAGCCCTAAGAAAGAAAGGGACTTGTGTGGGCATTTGTAGTTTACCTCTTATTGTGTTTGCTCATCTCCCAATGAGAAGTTTGAATCTCAAAACCATTTCCGCAGTCTCAGGTTCTCCTGGTTTGAGTTGTTGATTGTCTGTGTCCACACACCAATAGAGATGTTGATAGGACAGGAGACTGCTTGGCGGTCAGCCTTCTATCTCAGCTCCTGTCGATTCTGGCTGCAAACTCTGTAACATGCTCCAGGGGCCAGGGCAGTGCTTCATGGAAAAGAGATCTCAGATCCATCTCTAAAGAGTAACCCTCAAAGCATCTCACACATTTGTTCTATTATGAGAAAGGAGCCCCTTTCAGTCCTTGTACCCCAAAATCTGCATTCCTCACCTTACTGTGCCAACTTTTGGCTGTTAATGTATAGTTAAATCATTCCTGTTTGTTTGTTCCACGTAGC